TGTAAGCACGAGACTTAGAAGCTGAGTGAAAGGGCAGGCCAAACAGCTCAGCAGATTGAAGTGCCTTCCAGTAGGCTCAGGGGCCTGAGACACACTGAGACGGCAATTGAGACTGGGCGTGGTGGCACGTGCCTGTAATCCCAGCTCTTGGGAGGCTGTAAACAGGTGGATTACTATGCGTCTGATGCAGTAGTAAGACCCTGAACACCCTGTAGAGCCTTCACTAAAATAAAAAAAAAAAAAAAAAAAAAGAAAGAAACTGAGTGAAGCCAGGTGTGGTGACCAGACATCTGCAATTCACCACTCTGGTAGACAGGGTCAAAACAATTGCAAGTTAAGAGCCCAGATGGGCAATTTAGTGCCTCGGCAAAACTCTGTCTCCAAAAAAAAAAAAAAAGCTCAGGCTGTAGCTCCTCATGAGGGCCCTAAATTCAATCCCCAATACCTCAAAACAAATTGAAAACTGCAATGATATCAAATGAACTGCTGAAGATGGAGGCTTTCAGTATTAGCTTACTTGTAGGACGGTAAATCGGAGTCAATAGTTACTCAAACTCAAATTGGGGATGAAACCATCCAGAAAAACTAGACTGAGAGAAAACAGGACCTCGAGAAACTCTTACATTTGAAGGCGAAGGAAAGAGTAAGCCTGCTAAGGATAGTAAAGAGTTTGTGGTCAGAGATAGGAAAACCATGAGTGGAATCAAGGCCACCCACGGAGAAGGGTCATCAACGAGGAACTAGAAAAACAGCAGCAGACCAGCAGCCCTCTAGGAAATAACCACTTCTTAGAGGATATTAAGGTCACTGCAAAGGTGACTTTAGTAAGAACTATTTTATACAATAAGGGCTGTATAATTCAAAACAGACTGGGTTGCAGAACGGAAAAATGAGAGTGGCTCGCGAAGTGGACAGCCAAAGTATGGAACTATTTTTGAGAAGCTTACCTAGATCACAGAAAAGATGGTAACTGGAGGGGAAACAACGGAGAATGGCTTGTTGTCACAAGGGAGTTAACATGTTTAAATACTGATAAAAATTTAGTAAAGTAGGAGGAAGTAAGACATCCTCAAACAGGAAAAAGAGTAAGACTCAGAGCACAAGAATAGGCACTGGCACCAGAGCAGAGGGATTCATTGTTTGGGGCAGGAAGAAGGAAAAGAGGTGACCATGAGACTGATGTATGTGGATTACTAAGTGGGAGGATACAGGGCGCTTCTACTTTTATCTATGAATAGGGTGACTCACAGAAAAAATAGTAAGGGAAAGAAAGCTTAAGAATATCAATTTGAGGGGCCAGGGAGATGGTTCAGTAAATAAGCGCTCGCCTGGCATGCACAAGGGCCTGAGTTCAGTCCTCAGTTCCACCAAAGGAAAAAAAAAAAAAAAAAAAAAAAAAAGTATCAACTTGAAAGGGTCCTCGCAGGGAATAATAAATAGCAGAATAAGCCAGTGGGATTATGGGAGCTGAGACTCCGTTGGAATTTGATAACCATGGATTAAGAGTGATACACGATTATTCAATATTGGTGTCCATGTAGTTGTTCAAATAAAGGCACACATGTCTAATTTGTAGGATCCAAGCAAAACCATTGGAGTTTAAACTGGCTGAGCAGCAATAGCCTGAGTGCTTCAGTGAAATCAAGAATAGAGGTGACAGGTCAACAAATAAAAAGTGAGAAGAAATAGGACAAATGAATCTGATGCAAGTGACAGTGTTTAGAAAATGAAGTAGTTTGGGGTGGTGGCAACAGTCCAGATTTAACTAAGGGACTGGGTGGCTTAGTGTGGAAATCACTGGCGTCTGAATCAAGGATTCTAGAGACTTGGTTACTGAATGATTGTCTATTAACAAAAATGCAGCAAGAGGTGGCTAGAAAAACCAAGGACTATTTCGATGGAAGGAACAAAAGAATAGTCACGGACACTGGTAGGACAACTAATGAGACACTTGCATGGATGGAGAGCCTCAAGAGAATGCCATTTCGCTGGAGTGGGCAATGAACTGAAGTCACAACAGGTATACCATGAAATTTTATCTCCAGTATTTGTGATGTGGTAAAGATATGTCAAAGTTTATTCTGTGTGTTGTGCTTCAAACGACATTACTCTCATTCTAGCAATGGCTACTACTTTACAACTGAGGAAGACCAGACTAGAAGATAAGTGTGGTTAAGGGGCTGGGAGGTAGCTTGGTGGTCTAAGCGCCTGCCCGGCAAGCACAAGGACCCAGCAGCGATCCCTGGTAGTGCATTCTGTGCTGCTGTGCTGGCCACCAAAACCAGGCATGGTGGCACATGCCTGTAATCTCAGCACTGGAGAGGCTGAGATAGGAGGATCAGTATGAGTCTGAGCTGTGAGTGAGGCCCTATACCAAAACCCCCAAACACACCATAAGAGTGCTAAGAACGTTTTCTCCTAAGCAGCAAATGTATTTACAAATAAAAAATTTTAATAATGGAAAATAATCAGAACAGATTGAAAATTAATAGAAGATAATGGAAGATTGAATTTTTTGTGTTTCTGAGACAGGGTCTTGCTATGTAGCCCAAGCTGGCCTTGAACCTGTAGCAATCCGGCTGCCTCAGCCTCCTGAGTGCTGAGATTACAGGCACGTGCCACCATGCAGCTGGAAGACTGAAAATTTAAGAAAAGGACGGATGGGTCAGATTGTGGACTTGATTTTCTATGCCTAGAGGCACAGTAGCTGCAGAGGAGATGCAGGATAATACCTGTGGCAGTTCAGAGCATGAGCCTGAGAATCAGATGGACACAGGCTGCTTTTCTCCACATTACTAATCATGTTAAAAGAGGAATCACACTTCCCTGGGAGTGGTGGTGCACACCTGTAATCCCAGCACTCAGGAGACTGAGTCAGAATGATCTCTGAGTTCAAGGCCTGGAATACAAAAGCAAGTTCAAGGCCAGGCTACACTATGTAGTAAAATAGGAGATCTCTACCTCTGTATCTGTTATCCGTTAAGTGGAGATGATGCCTTTTGCAGTTTTTTTTTTTGGTAAAGATTAAACACATGATCTACTAACCTCAGAACCTACAAAATGCAAGTGTTCTTTTTTTTTTTTTTAAATTCAGACCCTTGTGCTCGCCAGGCAAGCGCTTATTCTACTGAGCCATCTCCCAGGCCCCTGCAAGTGTTCAATAGATGATTTCTGAGAGGGAGTCTGGTGTACTAACAATATGAACTTTATTTATATTTGGCTTTCTTTGAGACAAGGTCTTGCTATGTAGTTCAGGCTAGCCTTGAACTTGCAGTGATTCTAATGCATTGGCCTCCTAAGTGCTGCGATTACAGGCATGCCACAGCACATCCAGCAAGTAAAACTACAAACTTTAAAGTAAGGTCTACTTTATTAGGAATTGACCCCCAAAAGGAGAGCTATTGCCCTGTATTTTAGATGGGGCCTTACTAAATTGCCTATGCTTGCTTTGACTTTGTAATCCTTCTGCCTCAGCCTCCCAAATACTTGCGATAAGGTTTATGAACCCCTCATCTGGTTTAGATCGGCCTTTTACATAAGTTCTACTATCTGAGAATTTCAACTTCCTGATCTGTAGGTGGGAAAGAACATCAGCTTTTCGGATGGATGGTTGAAAGGAGTTTTTATTATCATGGGAGCTAATGGGTAGGAACTTTAAATCTCTGAAAATAATATTCACTTAAGAGCAATAAAGGCACAGTATAAAATAACTATAATGGTGATCAACAGACAGAACAGACCAAGAGCCCATAAAAAGGCAGTTTGTGGGCTGGGAAGATAATTCAGCAGTCTAAGCACCTGCCTGGCAAGTGCAAGGACCCAAGTTCGATCCTCAGTACCACAGGTCATGCCAGTCCTGGAACCAGTGCACACCTATAATCCCAGAGCTGGCAAGGCTGAGACAAGAGAATCACTATGAGTCTGAACTGCATCGCGAGACCCTGTACCAAATAAATAAATATATACAGATAGATAGATAGATAGACAGATAGATATATCTATATATCTATATTTTTAAAGGGCAGAGCCCTTTGCTTGTAGTAAGGGCTACACTCGGGCTGGTGACCTTAAACACTCCATGGCACTGATTATAGAACTGTTTTTCTCTAGTAGCTTGGACAGAAAAACAGAAAAGATAAAACCATGATAGAAAAAGGAGGCTATAAGGAACAAAATGTGGTGGGGTGATATGCCATTCAGGCTGCTGAACACTGCTTCCCACAAGGGGGAAGGCAAAATGAGAAAAGAATAGAGGCTGCAATTATAAGCCACCAAAGTATACTGAGAATAATGTGACATAGAGGGAGGAAAGCTGAAATTATGAGATTTTGCACAAGCACTGAGTCCAACACTAAGGTAGTATGAAAAAGGACCCAGAGATTGTATTCTTTTTTAAATAAACACCACCCCTTAGATTTTTCTTCTCCAAATTTGACTATACTGTAGCTTTCCTATTCTTGATTGCCCCTGAGGATGAGAAGATCTTTATCTAAGCATTTTAACGCAGATCACAGGAAAACAGAAAATACTAAGACACTAACCAGGGGAAATGGTTGCAGTGCAAGAGCACTCTCGATTCTAACAGGTTTTATCTGTGTTTTGTGGCCACTGACTTCCTACAAAGCAATGCCTACAAGTCCTATGGGCTTTCTGGAGTTGTTTTTTTCCTCCTCCTGTTGACATCACCTTCTTTCCCTAGATCCAACAGAAGCCTTTCCATAAGGAACAGACTAAGAAAAGTGTACACATCAAAGCGTGCTCAGCCATTTAAGTTAAAAAGACTCAACGACAGCCAGAGAGATCTCTCATTTTATGTCACCTGAGCAGCAACTAACCTTCTGTTGCTATTACCAATTTATACACTGAATCCACAAACCTGCTCTAATCAGATGCCTGGAATACTGAGGCTTTCCTTTTACATACAGATGGCAGTTTCTCAGCTGCCAGGGGTCAAACCAGCAGATATGCATTAAGTGACGAACAAGACAAAGGTTCCCTAGTTATCATTTAAATCAAACAGCAAAAACTGGGTTTATTGGCTCCAGGAAAGGAGCAACAGCCCTTCTCCCTTAATCTCCGTCCAGGCTTCACCAAGTCCAAGTCCACTAGGTCCTTCCAGTACCTTCCCTCCTGGGGTTGGGGCTGGCTAGCTGGCTGGTGGTGAGGCTGTGGGCTGTTCTGCTGTAACACCTGGTACAGCCGAGGCGGCCTCGTAGTCTGCGATGCGGCGCTGCACAAGGGCAGGCATGAGCTGCACGTAAGCGGCCATGAGCCGGTGGTTGGAATGGATCAGCTTCCCAGCACAGCTATGCAGGCAGGCCTCCTAGAAGGGAAACGGGGGAAAACAGAGATCAAAAGAGTCCTTCCAAGCGCGCTCCTTCCTTCCCCATTCCCAATTTGGGGTGAAGTCACGGGAAAGCCAGATTCAGAGGTAGTGGAACTGGGGGGAGGAGGAACGCTGCGCCGCTACTTCTGGGGCTCGAGGGTGATCTCACTGCACAGACCCCCACCTCCTCCGCGTCCAGAGCTCGGTGGTGCAGGCTGGGCACACAGCGCTGGAAGCAGAGTTCTGTCATCCGATTGTATACCAACAGGAAGTCTCGCAACTGGGAAAGAAGCGAACCAAGAACACAGTTCTAAGAGCTCCACTCCACCCTTCAACCCAAGACCTTGCCGCCGTCGATTCCCAAAACCGCGCGCCACAACCTGTGTCCCCAGTTGTAGAATCTCTGGCCTTTTGGGGGTATCGCCGTGGAAATGTCTGGCCCTGATACAACTCAACCCTAACTCACGTTTCTCAGTTGCTGTTGCTGCTGCTCCATGACGCCACCTGGCTTGTACGTCACTTCCGTTTCAGCATCAGGACACCGCCCCGGAAGGAATCTGTCCACTCTCCAAGGACTGACTGCTTGGTTCTAGTATCGCCCTGCCCACTTCGTCTACGTCACTTCCGCCCTTATAATCTGCGACGTGGCCTGGCTTCTTCTGCCCAGAGAGGACGTCACTTCCGCCAAGTCCCTGACCTGCTGCTAGGATCGCCACGGGAACTGGAACCTGAGGTCCCCTCGCCGTCCGGGCCTGGCGCCCAGAGGGAAAGAACGGCCCGGCGCAGGTAAGAGAGATTTACTTGGGTGAGGGGTAGTTGAGCTCACGAACTTATCCTTAGGGCAAGATTCCCCTGAGTCTTGGGCTAGGATGAGGACACACCTGATGCCCAGGTGTATGGGGGCGGGGAGGAAGCAGGGACTAACACCTGGAAGACGTAACTGACTTGGGAAGGGATCGCGTAGATTCTGAGAAAGACAGGCTTTTATCAGACAGCAGGAATATATTCCAATTGATTCAACTAAGGCCTAGTGGGGAGGACTCTAGAAGGAGGTGCTTGAGATGGAGGAGGGGGAGACTGCCCGAGGGAGGGAGGGAGGGAGGGTTACAAACACCGAGGAATGTGGAAGCCCAAGCATTGGAGGATATGCATGCTGAATGCTGGGTGGCGCCTGAACACCAGAAAGGAGCTGGTTACCTGGTGGGAGGAAGCACACCTGCGTGGGGTTAAGTTGCCAGACAGATTTTCTGAGACAGGTTTTCTCTTGTTCACTGCTGTATTCCCAGTGCTTTAAAGGCTGACACATGGTACGTCTCACAAAATATCAGTTGAATTGGTGAATGCAAGCATGATTACTAAAGGTGGGGTTGGGGGTGGTGAGAAGACACCTGAGGCTTAGATGTGCACATGTGTAGACATTTGCACTTTGAGGGAAAGAAATACATATATCCGAGGAAAAAAGTGGTAGCTGAGGCCCAGAGACCCTCAAATCCTGGGACAACCCCCTGAAGCCTTAGAACTAGCAGGGGAGGTGTCCCTCTTTTGGAGTGCTGGCCAGTTTCCAGATTGCCTGTTTTGGGCTTTGCAGGGTGCTGGGGTGGAGACTGCCCCCTCCCTAGCCATGACGGACGGGATCCTAGGGAAGGCAGCCACAATGGAGATCCCTATCCACGGGAATGGTGAAGCTGGGCAGCTTCCTGAAGATGATGGGCTGGAGCAGGTGCTTCTGTTTGATGCTTCTGATTGTCTCTTGGGAGCCCAGTGTATAAATCCTGGCTTCGTACACCCATTCCATTCCAGTAGCCTTCCCTGAAGTTATCTAACCCTTCATTCTTTTTACAAAATATTCATTTGATTCTGTGGTGGCTTCCAGTGTGTGTGCACCTGTGCATGCGCACTCGCTTGCTCTTTCTCTCCTACCCTCTCCCTCTCTCCATTTCTCTCCCCCCATATGAGCTTGTTCCCACCCCCAAAATGTTTCAGCTGCCTATATGTTCCTGAAGTGCCTCCCTCCTCCTTTCTCTGGCCTCTAGGACCTCCAGCAGGTGATGGTGTCAGGACCCAACCTCAATGAAACCAGCATCGTGTCAGGTGGCTATGGGGGCTCTGGTGATGGACTCATCCCCACAGGTATGAATGATCAGAGACAGAAAAATGGAGCGCAGAGCGGGACTAGGGTGCTTGGAGGAACATAGGACACATCCAGGACACTTGAATCATGGCTAGAGAGCTTGAAAACTTATGCTAATATGGACCCCGTGGACTGTCTCCATGACCCAATGCCAGAATCCAGGGGTTTCCATCTGCTTCTTTCTTCCCTTGATCCTGAGATGGCCATTTTTCTTTTTCCTGCAGCCATCACTTGATATGGTAACTCTGGTTTGCAGGAGTTTTCCTGTTCTGGAGCTTGAGACTGTTCCAGAATTTTACTTCAGAGGAACAAACAACCCTGCATTTCCCAGACCAGGATCATCTATGGGAATGTCAACCAGGCTTCCTATCATCAGCACCCACCATCCTTGACTCTCCCTGCAGTGTAGCATACTTTTTGTTTCTTCTGCCTCTGTATACCAGCAACTCCCCAAGCCCCACTATAAGAAGGCTAAGTATTTATTGAGATTTGACTTCGGAGCACAAGATCCTAATTTCTCCTAGAGTAGTTAGTAGGACAGTCTAATTGACTCTAGACCTTTTCCCCTCTGGGGAAATCATTTCATGTGCTCAGGTGCTAGGTAGGGAATATGGGTGGGGCCACAGAGGTGTCTGGTTGTATCTGAGAGAGGCTGGTGTGAAGAACTTGGTCCTTTAGGATCTGGCCGCCATCCATCTCACAGCACCACTCCTGTTGGCCCTGGAGATGAGGTAGCTCGGGGCATCGCTGGAGAGAAGTTTGACATCGTCAAGAAATGGGGCATCAACACATACAAGGTGGGATTTCAGCACCTCTCCCTTTCTCAAGGCTCCCCCTAACTTTCCCTTTTCTCCAGCTCCTAGTAGCCCATCTGTGGCTAAGACTAGGAGACTGGGGGTGCTGGAATACTTGGTGGGGTGCAGGGCCTAGGTTCTCTGACCTATTCCTCTACCTCCCAATCAGTGCACAAAACAACTGTTATCAGAACGATTTGGCCGAGGCTCTCGGACTGTTGACCTGGAGCTAGAGCTGCAGATCGAGTTGCTCCGTGAGACGAAGCGCAAGTATGAAAGTGTCCTGCAGCTGGGCAGGGCACTGACAGCCCATCTCTACAGCCTGCTGCAGACCCAGCATGCACTAGGTGACGCCTTTGCTGATCTCAGCCAGAAGTCCCCAGAACTTCAGGTGCCTTGGCCAGAGCAAGGACGTTGGGGGGACTGAGGCCTGGGCCCTTCCAAGCAGTCACTCCTCAGACTCCCTCCCCTCTCCCTCCTGCAGCCCACAGGGAGAACGCCTTGAGGGTGGGCCCAGCCCTGCCTCCGGCAGTACTCATGTGTGAAGGCAATCTAAGGGTTTGCATAGAGGTCCAGAAGTTGGGGGAGTGGGGCTGGGAGAGGGAGCACACTAGATGTCTCACAGTTACCCTTCTATACATTGTTGAGAATACTTTTGGCACTGGGCCTAATCAAAGCCCCTCCCCTGCCTGCTACACTAGCTCTCCCTATGTCAGCCTTTTGAACTTCTCTGAGAACACCCATTGCCCAACATTCCTATCCCGAGCATCCCCAGGGTGGCCAAACTAGCTTCCTGGCTAAGAGAGTCTTGCTAAACGCAGACCTTGGTGGTTTTCTCTTTGGTAGCTCTTTCCTTTCCAGGAGGGAGGGGAATGAAGGGACTCTTATTCAAGGCTTGTCTGTCCCTTTTGCCCTCCAGGAAGAATTTGGCTACAATGCAGAGACACAGAAGCTTCTGTGCAAGAATGGGGAGACGCTGCTAGGGGCTGTGAACTTCTTTGTCTCTAGCATAAACACGTTGGTTACGAAGACCATGGAAGACACGCTCATGACTGTCAAACAGTATGAGGCTGCCAGGTGTGGGACTGGAAGGGTGTAAAGTTTGGGAAGTTGGCTGATATGGGTGGAAATTTGGGCATTAGGGGCAATTCAGGAGGGAAAGGAGAACTTTCATTGAATAAAAGGGATGGAGACCAGCCTTTATCACCCCCTCCCCAGGCTGGAATATGATGCCTACCGAACAGACTTAGAGGAGCTGAGCCTAGGCCCCCGGGATGCAGGGACCCGTGGTCGACTTGAGAGTGCCCAGGCCACTTTCCAGGCCCATCGGGACAAGTATGAGAAGCTGCGGGGCGATGTGGCCATCAAGCTCAAGTTCCTGGAAGAAAATAAGGTGCCAACCCCACCCCTTTGTTCCTAAACTGCCTTTCCACCTGACAGTAACTTTCCTTTGACACCGTCATTACCCAAGTAGGAGATGCAGCCTGATGAGGGAGTGGGATGTTCCCAGCCCCTCGACCCCTGAGCCTTCTTAAGTCAGTCTCCTTCCAATCACTAGTCCTTTTCTGTTGGAGGATTTTCCAGAAAGCTAACTGGGGAAAAGCACATCCTTAGCTGGGTGGGGTACCAGACCCTAGGCCCAGAAAATCAAGTCAGATTTTTCCATCAGGTTGACCTTTCTCCTTTGTTTCCCTGAGTGAGGTTCAGTCCCTAGCCCAGGATCACCATCAGAGCAGAGTCCACATATCCCAGTCTGGACTCAGGCTCAGAGCTCTCAAAAGGGGCACCTGAGTCCAGCCTTAGCTGACCCTGCCGGACCCCCAGATCAAGGTGATGCACAAGCAGCTGCTGCTCTTCCACAATGCTGTGTCCGCCTACTTTGCTGGGAACCAGAAACAACTGGAGCAGACCCTACAGCAGTTCAACATCAAGCTGCGGCCTCCAGGAGCTGAGAAGCCTTCCTGGCTAGAGGAGCAGTGAGCTACTTCCAGCCCATCTTGGCTTTCAAGAAGGACACTGGGAAGGGCAGCCCCAGGGTGGAGGAGATTGGACACACACAGGACATCCCTTGCCAGTTGCCCTCTGGCTTGGGTTCCCTTTCCCTGGCTGGGATCTGACACAAGTTTTGCCCATACTGCTGTGGTATGAAGAGGGCCTATAGGCCCAGAAGCTGCTGTCCTGTCCTTCATTTTTCTGGCCACTGGGCTTCATTCCCAGATCTTTTCCTTCCACTCCACAGCCAAAGGCTACGATAGAACCACTCCCTGGCCAATGGCATCACTCCTCAGGCCTATCCCCAGCTCCTGGGGTATGTGCCCTGACCAATGACAGAGCCTCAAAAGGTCTTGGTGGCCAATGGCAGCTCTTCTTGGGCTCCTTTGGGCCAATAATGTTGCCTCCGATACCCTTTGTCCCTCCTCTATGCGTGCCCATTGCAGAGAAAGGGACTGGGACCAAAGGGGTGGGGATAATGGGGAGCTCCATTTCTGGCGAGCATCTGAATGGGCCTCCTCTCACCCACCCATTTAATTGTGCTCAGAACCCAGGAAGACTGGGATCTAGCACTAGGAATAAACCTTTCATAAAAGCAGGCCCAGTGAGGTCAATTTGTGGGGGACTATAGGTGGGTGGGCAGGGTGGACTCAGCCTAGTTAAACACCCAAATCCTATGAAGTCAAAAGAGCTGGGGCCAGGAATCCAAAGTCACAGGTTACAGAAATAGTCTGAAGTCTTGATCCCCCTCAACCCCAACTGGAGCCCAAGTTTTATCTACCTTACTGGTTGACACCAAGAGAACTGTGGATCTTAAGGGCATAAGATCCAGAGGGAGTTGGAAGTGCAGACCATCATTCATTGACTCCTAACAGCAAATATTTACTGAGTGTTTTTATTTGCCAGGCACTGAGCTGGGCCCTGGGGAAACATGAGTGAATAAAACAGGCCCTGCCCACAGTGCTTAAGGCCTAATGGGGGATAGAGACAAGTAACTAGGCAACTATGTACAGTGAGAAGTACTAGGATACAGGAGCACAGAGGTGGGGCGTCTAGATTATACGGGTAGAGATGGGGATGTCAACTTGAGAGTAGAACCTGGAAGATTGGATTGACAGCCAGTGAGGACCAGGTATGTGGAGACTGAATGGGAAGTAAACTTGCACTGTGCTCTGTATCCTTGTACTTTTCACTGTACCATAGTTGCCTGGTTATGTCTCTATCCCCGATTAGGCTTTAATTAAGTAAACATGGCAAGGTAAGAGGACGACTGCAGCTCGTTAGGGACTTTTGCCTTTGAGAGTATAAAACCTTTTAAGCAGAGGCGTGACCATACAAAAGAAATCCAGGATTGAGAAAGTAGTCCTGAGGCTTAAAATAGAGCAGCACAGACCAAGCAGTTCTTATCTCTGGGAAGTGTAGTGGCGTGTCTCCCAACTTCAAGCACAAAGCCTGTCTGAGGCCTCAAGCCCAGAAGCACCAATCAGGTTACCAGAACTCAGGCAGATGAGACAGGCAGTCTGTGGTTGGGCCCAAATCTGAGCCTCGTGAAAAATCCCAAGAAAACTCCCCAAAGCAGTTTTCAAGGTCCTAGTGTCATATCACTGTCCTTTGCCTAAAGAGAACCCCAGACTCCACCGTTCTCTGTGGAGCCCTTGGGGAAGAGGCAGCCTTTTCCGCACTGAGGCGCACAGAGCCTGACTGCTCTCATCACGAATGCTGCAACTCCAGGCAGGCTCCCTGGGCTGTGGTTAGCCTGCAGCTATCTAGCCAGCCGGATTATGAGGGATTTTTTTTTTCCAACCTAAAGGCACTCAATCTCCAAATGACAGGAAGCAAGGCCTGAAAGCAGGGTCAAAATCTGGTACCTTCACTTCCTGAGTGATCAGGGTTAACACCCTGTTTTTTTCATTGTAAAATAGGGTTAATAAAAGAAACTACTTAATTACAGTTCTGAGTATTAAATAAGATAATGTATATAGAGTGGTTGGTTATTATGTCTGTATATAATTAGTGCTCAGAGCCTGTTATAATTTTTGTTATCTTTCACCAGGGTTGCTTTTCAGTAATGCACTGACGTTTGCTCTGGGTTTGTGGTGTGAGGGAGTCTGAATGATACTTTCCTCTCAAGGGGGCTCCCGAGGCAACTAGCGCAGAGATAAGTTCCCACCTGCTCACTGAGCCTCCGCGCCCCAGAGCTCTGGGTATCGCCCCTCCGCGGCCAGAAACCCGGTGGAGCTACACAAGGTCCCCGCTCCCTCCTGCTCGGCGGAAACCAAATTCCATAGGTCGGATATCCCGCACCCCAGAAAGCCAGAGAGGGCGCCAGCAGAAGACAGCCAGGTCGGCCTCGCAGACTCCTGCATCCCCGCTGCCCCAGCAGCCTTTTCATGACAGCACCTCATCCCGCTACCTGCCACCTACCACACCGCCCTTCCCGGAGCCCCAGCAGCTGGCGGAGATCCGGGATCCGGCTCGCCGCGCTCCCCCGCCGCGCCGCAGAGGCAGCGCCCACGGGCGCCGCAGGGCCGCCGTGGGGGCGGGGCGGGGGC